AATCTGTGGTGCTGTGTATGACATAATGGATATTTATGAAATCTTTAGACTGGTGTAGAATCTGTGGTGCTGTGTATGACATAATGGATATTTTTTAGATCTTTAGTCTGGTGTAGAATATGTGGTGTTGTGTGTGACATGATGGATATTTATGAAATCTTTAGACTGGTGTAGAATCTGTGGTGCTGTGTATGACATAATGGATATTTATGAGATCTTTAGACAGGTGTAGAATCTGTGGTGTTGTGTATGACATAATGGATATTTATGAGATCTGTAGACTGGTGTATAATATGTGGTGTTGTGTATGACATAATGGATATTTATGAGATCTTTAAACTGGTGTAGAATCTGTGGTGCTGTGTATGACATAATGGATATTTATGAGATCTGTAGACTGGTGTAGAATATGTGGTGCTGTGTATGATATAATGTATATTTATGAGATCTTTAGACTGGTGTAGAATCTGTGGTGCTGTGTATGACATAATGGATATTTATGAGATCTTTAGACTGGTGTAGAATCTGTGGTGTTGTGTATGACATAATGGATACTTTTTAGATCTTTAGTCTGGTGTAGAATCTGTGGTGCTGTGTATGACATAATGGATATTTTTTTAGCCTTTATTATTCAACTTTTACGTGGGTATTGCTAAGTTTAATTGAAATCAAGTAAGGCCAAAATTATGGAACTTATGAAACTCTTAAAAGCTTTACAAGATTAGTAATAGGATAAAACTGTTTGTTAAGCAAAATGCATTAAGCTAACGTATAGCTTTTGAATTTATTAATTATTAGCATTACTTGAGAATTTCCTAAAAATTAATACCACGTATATACTGATACTTTAGGGTTGAAGACATTGAAGAAATGCCCCAAGAGAGAACAGCACCCATGTTTGTAATGAAACCAGAGCCACAAGTGGTGTTAGAAGGAGATGGGGCCAAGTTCCAGTGCCGAGTCAGTGGAAATCCCCGTCCTCGATTGATGTGGATCCTGAATAACCAGAGTGTGATCAATGTATGCAAAATAGTTGAAGAAACCCTTTTTAATTACTTAATATTTTGTTAAAACAGTATGCATTCTGGCTAGCTAGAATTTATTTGGAAGTTAAATTAAAACATTAATTTGTTGTTCTGATCAACTGCTTTTATTTCAAATACTTTCGAGTACAGTTTATTGTACTAATATTTTATATGGAATGATTCAGAACATTCTCAAATATTTAAACTCAAATTTAGTTTTGAGTGAACTGATGAAAATAATTTGTACACTTGGTAGTAAGCAAATACTATATTCCTTAATTAGCTACATTTTTCAAAGTTGTGTTTTGGAACAAATGAAATTTAGTTGAATCCATGTGCCGAACTTGGCATAAGCTGTTAGTCCCTGTAAACTGTGTGATCAAGTAGCTTAGCTTCTGTTTCGTGGGATAGTTGCATCGTATTTTACTTGACGTTGTGTATGGAGCACACCTTGCAACTGTTACATGAAGCAGACGCAGATGGAATGTATTTGTGAATACAGTTTTGGTGTTTTCACATGAGATTAGATTCAGTTTTTGAGGAAGACGACAATTTATTTTTCTGCTCTGTGAAAGAGTCAGAACTTGCTATCAAGTTCCGTTTCTTTTCATTCTGCTGTACTAATCCCAACTGATTGTGCATTCTGTTGGTAAAATGTATTATTTTCACTCATCTTTTATCTAGTTTTTTCAAGTACAGATTAATTCTGTTAGTTTTTTCACATTTTAACATAATTAGCCAGTTTCCTTCTTTTTCTTCAGTAAGAATGTTTTTTTATTTCAATCTCACAATCATTTCACCTGTGATGAGTTGCAACACCATTCCTAAATATTAGATCTACAAAGCTCTAGTTTTTGTGGAGATCGAATGACCAGAGTTTTGTTTATCCCGAATTACCAAACTCTGAAGCTTGTGGTTAGGACCTACATAAAACTTTGTAGAGAAATTGTAATTTGATTTCATTACTAAAAATATTAAATCTTTCCAAGATACATTAGAAGACTAATCATTGGTTTAAACCTTATTTTTTGGTAGGGCTCTCGATGCAGGCTAACTTATGATGGTATTTTTCACCTTGAAATTCCTAAAAGCAAACTGTACGATCAAGGAAAGGTGGAAGTTATTGCTCGTAATACTTTAGGGCAGGCTTATTGCTGGACTACCTTGGAAGTAAAACCACGGTTTGATGATTATCGTGCTGTCTTGAAACACTCTCCTAAGCGTGAGTACTTTATTAAACTGTATGTAAGGAATGTGAATTTTGTTTACATTTTCACAAGAGAATCAGCTATATTTACCTTTATATTTCACAACATTTTATATCTGTATTTATGTATGTTACATTCCAAATAAAAATGGAAACTGTTGATCATATGTACGAAATGAAGTTACAACCAACAAATAAAACACTGTTTATACAACGTAAAGGAAGAACTATTTATGAAACCAACAAATGAAATACTGTTTATACAACGTAAAGGAAGAACTATTTATGAATGGTTTGTAAGATATTTTTTCTCGACATTGATGTGTATAAAAGTTTATTTTGTTTATCTTACCCATAAAGTTTATGGTTATTTGTGAGCTATACATGTATTGATGATCAGCTATAAACAGTAAGTTTATGGTTATTTGTGAGCTATACATGTATTGATGATCAGCTATAAACAGTAAGACTTTCTTTCGTCACTTACTTTTTCTATTACTTGCACTAGTTTCAGGATAGGGTAAAAAGTATCAAATGTATAAATAATTAAAAGCCATGATAAACATACATATCATACCCATGTATCTACACTTCATGTCTTTCACAGTTGATTCTCAAAAAGCACTGAAATGAGATTGTTTCAAACAACCAACAACTGAGTAATTTGGCCCTTTTCACAGATTCATATTATAATAGTTTCAATTACCAATAAAATTTTTGTTGTTAGGAATTATTTAACTTTGACTTAACAACAGTGTTTAAAGGAATCGGTATGCCAAACTACATGTTTTCTTTTCTTATTACAAAATGGAAAAGATAAGGATGAAGACTAAAATTCTCTGAAGTTCATATTCAAATTGTATCTTTTCACACATATTTATAAATAATTCTATTCTTCTAACAGTGGTTTTTACTAAACTCAATTAGCAATAGGGATTTTGAAAGTTCTTGTACTTTAGGGAGAGATATATGTTAGGTAATATTACATCGTTACATGGAAATATGTACAGATTTGAAAGATTCTTACTTTATATTGTATCTTCTGTTGATTATTTAAATTTTATTTTATTTCTAATGCCCACTGTTACTTCTTCATTGAATTATGTTACAAAATTGTATGTAATTAGAACTTGAAATTCGTAAATTATCTTGCAACTTCAACCATTTTTATGCTAGTTCTATAAAAAGTAACTTACAGAGGGCCATATTTATGTACTTATTTGCCATATGAACTTCATATGCTTCTGTGTACAAGCGCAAGTTACAAACCTTCGTATGCTGTGATGTGCAGTTAACACAACTGAAAAGTAATAAAATAAGGACTGTTACTGTTGTATTAGACTAATAAAAATGGGTACATCAGTACTTCTCATACTGTATTATCATTAACTGAATCAATTTACAGCTTATTGAAAACCTTTAAATTAGAATATACTTTACTTTCCATTGGTGAACCTAGTTTTTTACCTTTTTGTACCAGTTATGGACTAATTTGCAAAAAAAAAGAAAAAAAAAGTGTCACTGGATACTTTTACATCTCTTTATTTCTCAGTGTCTCAATCCTTCCTTTTCTTTCTGTCATGCTGTGTTATTTACTTTTAAATAACTTTATAGTTTTCCCATCATGTTTTTTTTTCTTTTTGTATTTCGTTTACCTTATAAGTAATCATGCCAATGGGCCTGTATATAGGTTAGGTTCTAAAGCTCAGATAACATGATGTGTGGTTTGTGGGATTGTTAACTGATTGATGTAGTTCAAGCAGTAGCTAATTACTGTTGCAGTAAGATGCACAAAATAAGTTCTTTGAATAATTTAACCATTTTTAGTATGATTAAAAACACACTGACATTACAACATTTCTGTTAACCCTTTCCAGATGGGTCATGGGTCGAAGGCCATGTCATCGTGTTTGTTTATTAAACTACAATTTTTTGATTTTATGTCAATAAGTTTGGTATCAAACTGTAGATTATAATTCAAATTTTAGTGTTATACATTATTTAATTTCTTAATTTAAAAAATAAATATTAAAAAACTTAAACATTTATTTTTGTTTGTCACATGGTATGTTGAATGCAGCACTGGTTCAAATTAGATGTTTTTGATGTCCAAATACTAAGTCTATAGTTTTGTACAAATTAGGAACTAAAATTACCAATATTGACAAGATAGAATATAAAATAAGAACCTCCTATCATTTCTATTTACTGAAATATTGATCATGTATTGAATCAAGCACAGTGGCCCCGCTCACCTCTTTCCATTTTTGGAAATGCTCCCTTATATACACTTACTTCTGTAGATGACATGTGAATAACCAATCGAAACTCAGAATGTTTCCCTAGTGGCTTTCTCAGCCATTTTCAAGTGTTATGATGCCATCTCATTCTTTCGAAACAAGATTTCAAGGAGGTAGATTGAGTCTTTAGTCTGCTCATAATTTCATATTTTTTTAGACCAAAATATAGCTGAGGTACTAAGCTTGATAAATTATAGTGGAATTCTGTGATATTGATATAATAATATATGATTTTTTAGTTATTTAACTGTATATATAAAACCTAAAAAAAATTGTTTCATTTTAATATCCTCCACTTGTGAAATTTTAAAAGGCTTAGCAACGTACGTCAAGCAGCAACCAAGTACAAAGGTCATAACTAGAAGAGATAAATGTTTGCTTTACTTCTTTATTTACTGTTCTATGTTTTAAGAAAAATAAGTTTAAGAATTTATTTCTAAAAAGTAATAATCTATATACATATATAATGTATAATAATTGAAGTGTGATTGTATTTTACAAAATACTAGTCCACTAAAACACAGGTCACTGTGTAAAGACTAAAGGTCAGTTTTATATTATTGGATACAGTAACATGCGTGCAAGTGTTTCGCGTCATTGTAATTTCTGCATTGTTAGCTAGGCATGGCTGAAAGGTCAATGTAATAAAAACGATAAATATATATAAATGTATAATGTTATGAGATTCAAGCTATTTTGTCTAAACATTTATGTTTTCGTGTTATAATTTGTGTTCATTCTAGAATGAAAGAAGCTTAATTTATGTTTATTTCCTAATTTTTTATAGTGGTTACAAGATCAGTCAAATCGACCAAACCCATACAGAGATTCATTACTCAAAATAACAGATAAAATATAAAGTTTTTTCTTGAGAAACATTTGATAACTATCTGGACATTATAAAGATTTTGCATGTGAAATTTTAAAATTTTCTGATGCATAAAAGTATTTCTAACCTTAAAATGAAAATTATTTTGCATGTTGAATAGGCAACATGCGAAAAGAATAAAGGCATGAGAAAAACATTGTTTTACAAACCTTAAGACTTAATGAAAAAATTTATATTTTGTGTATGAAAGCATTGAAATGTTTACTGATAATCTGCCAAATTTCGTAAACATATGCTTAATAGTTTAAAAGTTATAGCATGAAAACTATAACAAGCACAAAATGGTCACGAGGTCAGTCCTAGGGACCGAACCCATGCTGAAAGAGTTAAAGAATAAAAGAATTGTTATGTTAGTGAGATGGTAGTTGTTTTGTTATTGTATTTTAAAGAAGGAATCCTTAAGTTGACTTAGATAACTATATGCTAACACTTTTTAATTTATTTAGCATGGTATGACTCTGAAGTTAAACGTTATCAGAAAGATCGACAAGAGTCTGAACTCCAGCGAGTCTTCGAAGAGAAGTTAACACCTGGTGGAACCAAAGTAGATGTATGGAAAACACAAGAGTATGAAGGTAGGTCTAAGTACTTTGTTTGAAAGTTTCTGAGGAAAAATGTGGGATTTTATATATATAATAATTGTCTAGTTGTGAGAATTTGGTGTTATTTGAGTATGTTCTATATTAGTAGAAAGAGTTAATTAAAAAATATAAATACAGAAACAAAATAACTATTTTCTATCAGAGGATTTTAGCTATCAACATTTTAAGTTGTTTTTTTTTAGCTTATAAAATTTTTATTTTAAGCTACACTAGCGCTACCTACACATAGCTGTCCCTAATTCTGAACTGATAAACTAGAGGGAAGGCAGCTAAGCAACAGCATCTACTGCAAATTTCTGAAGTACTATTACATGAGTAAATTGTGGGATTTGACTGTCATTTTTGAAATGCACCCACACCCCTATAGTGCAGTGTTTTTTGTAGCAGTACATTAACTATCAGGTTTGCAGTCCAAGCACATTGAACACTAGGCCACACCAGGCCCTAAAGTTAGAAAAAAGATATAACTAAAAATACTCTTCTCTGTAAATAAAAACACTCAATAGTTTGCCATGAAATATTTACATTGTTATTCACTTATTGAGCTCCTCAAGTTAATGTTACTCAAGTCAAAAATACTGACTTTGAACTTTGCATTTATTTTCAGAGTATTTTATCTCACAAGATAATGTTTTGTCACATTGTCATGGAATGTGCGAAAAAACTGAATTTTAAATAAATCTTTGTGCCAGACTTTAAGTTAGAATTCAGTATTTTCAGGGAAGTTTGAAAAGCTTTCACTGTTGATTTATTTAATATTTTTTTTTAAGTGAAGTTTCACAGTTTGAGGAAGTAATCATAAGTTATTCATTAATTATTGAAATGGTTTTTATTTCTTTATCATAGGTGAACATGTAAAAATAAAACAAAGGCTGGAAGAAGAAGACACAAAGAAAATGCAGCCTGAAGTTAAAAGATTCAAAACAGATGCATTTTATGTACGTTTTTTGTTCTTTATTCTACAAAATCATGTTGTCTAATATGTTTATTTCTGTTACTCAGTGTTGATTTCTGTAAACCACTTATTTGTGAGATACATTTCCATCATTAGAGGGCAGGCTTAGCTTTACTATCCAAAAAGAAATCAAAGTCATATTATGAACAATTGTGTAGTTTTGATTACCAGGTTTTATTGTGTGCATATCACTAGTTGAAACTTGTATAAACGTCTTAGTAACCTTCACTATCATTTAAAATAACTTTCTTCGAAGTAGTTTTACAAGTTTGTTGGTTGTCCTTGTTTCTTGTATTTAATTTGAGAAACTTCTCAAATAAACGTTAGAGAAGAACCCTTTACATGCACATACACTGGATTATTGCTGTGAACAAAAGAGGCTTTCGTAATAAACTGACAAAACTTTTAATTGGGATAAGACTTATGGAAAGAAACCCATGATACTTGTTAGTTTGAAATACTTGGGTAAGAAACTGATGAATCTTTTAACTGGGATCTTATGGAAAGAAACACATTGAACAGTATGAACCAGAGTCGTCATTGCAGTATAAAATGTACTGTTTAAAAAGTCTCAGATTAAACTTGCTGGCCTCTCCCAATACCAAACAAAACTGATAATTTCAATTACAATTAGTATAAACTTATGTGCACAGTTGTGTACTTATTTTGTACTTTAAATACATAAGTTTATCTTCTACTAGTTCATTGTGTCTACCAATTATCTATATTATTTGAATCCTTATATAAAGATCTTCAACATATTAAATAAATGCCGTAATTCTTCAGTGTTACCTGAATAACTATGTACGAACATTTTCTCACTTTACATATATAGGACATGGGAATAAAGTGTTACAAACTGTTTGTCTATAAGTACAGTTAAGAAAACTTTTTATTTTTACTCTTCGATTAATGAATTATGTAATAAAATAAAAGATTGTACATCATGTTTTCAATCATCACTTTCAAAACACCATCTTGAAGTATATATATATATATGTTTTAAAGTATGTATTTGGACTAATCCTCGTGCCCAGAGAAAATTAAAATTAATGAACAACTCTTTTCATGTAAAACAATAGCAAACTCTGTACTAGAGTGTTAAGTATATGGACATGAAGAATCCAAGAGACAGTTCTCATCCATCAGAGAAATCCACACTTCTATAAAGACAATTTGGCAATACTGCTTTCATCCAGCTGTAAGGTGTTTTTGTAGCTTTGGAGGGTCACTAAAGGGCAACATTTTCATGGGATCACCCCTAATTTGCTTATATAGGTCTGAGTTGTTTAGCATCTTGATAAAGTTTTGAGAATTTAACCATTATGACTTAAAACGTAGATTTAAAACTGATAGAAGACTTTTAAGTTTTTTAACATTGGCTGTTTTCAGGTTCCAAAGTGTTTCAGCATTAGTTGGTTTCAGGTGTGATAAAAGTCTTCATTGTTTTAGAATTAGCTGTCTTTAGGCTTAATAAGGCTTTTTACTATCTTAGCATTAGTTTTCTTTCAGATGTAATAACACTTAATGTCTTATTAGTAACTATGTTCATACTTATAATAATGTTCTTCAATATGTTAGCATTAGATATTTTCAGGTTTACTAATGCTTCTCATTATCTGATCATAAGCTGTTTTCACAATTGATAAGACTTCTCAGTATTTTAGCTTAAGCTGTTTTCAGGCATAATAAGACTCTTCAGTGTACAAAATGAAGACATTTTTCCTACATTAAAAAATCCAGTTAAGAGTGTGACTTTGAAACTGGTTGGAAAAATTAAATTACTATGCAGTATATTGTCGTCAACGTGCTGTTGTTTTATGTTAAATTACTATGCAGTATATTGTCGTCAACGTGCTGTTGTTTTATGTTAAATTACTATGCAGTATATTGTCGTCAACGTGCTGTTGTTTTATGTTAAATTACTATGCAGTATATTGTCGTCAACGTGCTGTTGTTTTATGTTAAATTACTATGCAGTATATTGTCGTCAACGTGCTGTTGTTTTATGTATAGAGTGAAGAATTGTTTTGATTGTAATATATTTTCTGCACTAAGATTGACAGTGTTACTGGAGAAAGGAGAACGGAGCAACAATCTCAAGTATCGTGGATGACCAAATCTTATCAGGACAAAGTGTGAGCATTGCTTATTTATTTTGTACTAGTAGAGTAACCGGGGCTGATCGGGTGAAAATGGCTTTAAATATCCCGAGTTGTATTGATTAAATCAACCTTATTTATCGTAATTTTTTGCAATAAAATCAAAATGATCGATTTACCTAATTAAATACTTTGATTAAAATCAATAAAAATAAAAATGTGCTAAGTTTTAATCAAAGCAAAACTAGGTACATTTCTCCTGCTTCTTGCATGACATTTCAAGTTTCCAAAACAAAAATTCCCTACCTTTTGTTGTCCTGATTTCTGCTGTGTAGTAAAGGGTTGTTTGCAGAGTATTCTGACTTTGTTATTGTTCCATTTAACGAATAATTGATTTATTCTTTTCTCGTTGCAACATAAATGAAAATTTGTTGGTACCAAATGTTTTTGTAAGGTCATCGTATAGGTGATTCTTTTGAGTACATGAAGGCAAAGTGAAATATATGGCTGAAGCAAGCCTATTTAGTTGAGGAAGTGTGTGAGAGAGACACCCGTGTTTATATATATAGATTTGTAAGTCCATTGATATTAAATAATTGAGATATATTTCTTATATCTAATTCTAGTTTCAATGTTGTTGTTTTTTTTCTCAATTTAGTTGTTAAAAGTAACTGAAGGTTTAGGAAGTAATAATAATATCTTTGTTGAGTCATTTTTAAACAGGTTGGATTACTTGAGTATTGCACGTAAATATATTTTCATTTGCATAGTTATTTTAGCATAGCTGTACACTTTATTTAAAACAAATAACATCCTAATGCTATTGAATCTTTAGTTGATATTTTCTACTTCTGTAGAATAACAACAAACAGTAAAATGTAAGTTATTACCTTGAATAGCAAAAGTACCAACATGGGTGTTCACAACTTTTTTCATTAACAATAACAAATACATTTTTACATTTGGTTCTTTGTCTTTATTTAGGATATTTGGAATTTTTGTTCACTTGTAAAATAAAGAAATACAATAAAGATAGCAGAAAGGTCAGTTGGGAACTTTCTCTCTGTGAACCCTTGATATCATGTTTGATCCCTAAAAAATGTGTAGTCTGTTTTCCTTGAACATCCTACTGCAATGGAAACTTTTTACTTAAGGCACTACTAAACTCACTCTTAGAGGAGTAGGTCTTAAATGTGAACTTTTTTTCTCATTGGCTAACAGTTTCACTGTTGTATTCATGTATTCTAGTCATTTGATTGTAGTCTTTATATTTCAGATTTAATATTGGAAACTGATCAGTCATATATTAAAGAAAGTGGCTGGTCAAGAATCTTGATTAATGATAATAGTATAAGCTGAATAAATGTTTATCCACCTTGTCACATTATATATTTAAAAGAATGTTTGATAAAAAAAACTATGACATAATAACTTGATATTCTTTCATCACTGCCGACTCAAATATTATACCTTTTGGTTTATTACCTGTAAAGGCAAGTGTCTGTGTTTCCTGACTTTTAGAAGGTAATATAGATAACAGAAACAAGGGGTTTGGAAGCACGCCCACCTGGAAGGTTTTTACCAGTTTTTGTGAAGTGTGATATAATGGAAGTTAAGGAAAAGACACAAGTGAAATTAATGTAGTTTGTTAATCACCTTTGATTTTTCTCCTTAATTTCTTTATCTCGTCTTTATGGCTCTTTAGCTCCAACTGTCAAATTCATATTAGAAGCTATCATGAGTTATTATTTTGGACCGAAGACTCAGTTCAAGCTGGAACAATTGCAAATCTATGAATATATGTATTTATATATGTGTGTGTGTGTGTGTATGTATACTTTTTAACTATATATATATATACACACACACACACACACACATACATACATACATACATACATACATACATACATGTGTGTGTGAATTGCTGCCACCTACCTCTTCTGGTGCCTCTCGAGTAATTTGAGAAATTTCTAAAATTAAATATTTCTCAGGATCTGATAACTTTCAGTCTAGAAAGTATATGTATGTCATTGCCAGATTTATTTAAAGATTGTTAAGTGGTGTAATGGAGCTATTTCTACACAATGTACTGTAAAGGTTTTGATTTTATAGGTCACAGAAACTTCAATGTTTATTTTTATACACTCAAGTTAAGAATCACTGTGAATATGTTGCTATTTTATTTACTGCATCTAACTAATGGTATAAGTTTAACTTTTAGAGAACATACTGTTCACACCCCCATGCTTCCTGAAACACTGGTCCATGGTAAAGAAGTCCAGGTATCTAAGCAGAAACAGACCCAGCGGGAAGTGAAGGGTGAGTGGGAAGTCACTCGTCACACAACTCTGACAGAAACTATGGAACAAGAACACAAGGGCATCACCCAGGAGAGGAAAGTTATTGGACCAGTGGTAGGTTCTCCATGAGCCACAAAATATATTCTATATTTATGAATAAATATATATTTAATCCATAATAGTACACTCCAAGAACAGAAAATAAATTCAAACAAGAGAAACTTCACTTGCTTTAATTACATGTCATTCTGCATTACATACCAGTTCTGTTAAGTAAATAAGTCTAAAGGTGTAAAAAAAGAACATGTACAAGAACAACCATGTTCATAAAATCCACATAAGATTAATATATATATATATAATACAACTCTTCAGACAAATGTCCAAAAGCATCACATATAGGAGACAAAGTTGGGTACAAAGTACATTGTGGGAAATTTAATTGTACCTCAGTAACAGAGGTATCTACAGAAGTAGGTGCTACAGCAGTAAAGTTTCAATCAGTTTTAACAAATCCCATCTGTGGATGAAAGGAAGATAACAAAAAGTTAAAATGTAAGAGCAGATATGGATGCTCAATCCCACATTTAAAACCTGTTGTTAACCATCTTCAGTCAGCTGTGGCAATGTAGTGCTCAATCACACAATGTGCCCACATTTAAAACCTGTTGTTAACCATCTTCAGTCAGCTGTGGCAATGTAGTGCTCAATCCCACAATGTCCCACATTTAAAACCTGTTGTTAACCATCTTCAGTCAGCTGTGGCAATGTAGTGCTCAATCCCACAATGTCCTACATTTAAAACCTGTTGTTAACCATCTTCAGGCAACTGTTGGAATGTAGTGTTCAATCCCACATTTAAAACCTGTTGTTAACTACATTCAGTCAGCTGTGGGAATATAGTGCTCAATCCCACAATGTCCCACATGATGTACACTTCATAATAGTGGGGTCTATTTACAATAACACAAAAGGGACACAAACAGGAACTTATAGTAAGAAGCTTGGTAGTTCATTCTTTCTCTAATATGAAGGATTCACAAACAGAAGTAAACTTACGGGACTCTATCTGAAGATATTTACCCAGGAAAGTAGACATGAAACTTGTATCTAGTGTTTTATCTGAAGATATTTACCAAGGAAAGTAGACATGAAACTTGTATCTAGTGTTCTATCTGAAGATATTTACCAAGGAACGTAGACATGAAACTTGTATCTAGTGTTCTATATGAAGATATTTACCAAGGAACGTAGACATGAAACTTGTATCTAGTGTTCTATATGAAGATATTTACCAAGGAAAGTATACATGAAACTTGTATCTAGTGTTCTATATGAAGATATTTACCAAGGGAAGTAGACATGAAACTTGTATCTAGTGTTTTATCTGAAGATATTTACCCAGGGAAGTATCCATGAAACTTGTATCTAGTGTTTTATCTGAAAATATTTACCAAGGAACATAGACATGAAACTTGTATCTAGTGTTCTATCTGAAGATATTTACCAAGGGAAGTATACATGAAACTTGTATCTAGTGTTTTATCTGAAGATATTTACCCAGAGAAGTATACATGAAACTTGTATCTAGTGTTTTATCTGAAGATATCTACCCAGGGAAGTAGACATGAAACTTGTATCTAGTGTTTTATCTGAAGATATTTACCCAGGGAAGTATACATGAAACTTGTATCTAGTGTTTTATCTGAAGATATTTACCCAGGGAAGTAGACATGAAATTTGTATCTAGTGTTCTATTTGAAGATATTTACCCAGGGAAGTATCCATGAAACTTGTATCTAGTGTTTTATCTGAAGATATTTACCCAGGGAAGTATACATGAAACTTGTATCTAGTGTTCTATTTGAAGATATTTACCCAGAGAAGTAGACATGAAACTTGTATCTAGTGTAATTTACAAATTAGCTAAGCATCCAAACTTTAACTACCCCAGACCAGCTGCCTCACATGATGTATTACATTGAACAGGAAATTTTAGAACCACAATCTTATATAATTGTTTCAGATAATTCCAATACTTGTATATGTATTGCCCATGTTTGGTAGTGACTACTAACACCGAATTTCTAAATGAAAATAAAATATTAGTAATTATACACATACTTCTAAATTGTGTGGGTTTTCTGAATTAATGAAAGTAGAGATAGAGTAAGAATTGTAATCAAATATTCCAACTAATTAAGCCACTGGGCTTCATTACCACAACCTTCAGTTTTCATTAATTAAGATGAAGATTTCAAGTTAAGTCAGTTGTCTTTTCAACCCTAAAGCTTGCATGTTAATCAAAGATGTATTGCAGATGTCAGGTTTAGAAATTATAAGATCAGTTAGATGAATGAAATACACTAGAAATCTTCTTTTTTAATATATATTTCCAAAGATACAGCTAAAAATATTTGTTTTTTTTTAAACAGTCTGAAACAAAACCTCCGCTTTTTACCAAGAAGATTCAACCGTGTCCAGTGGTTGTCGGAGACACAGCTAAGTTTGACTGCACGTTCACTGGTACTCCAACACCAACCATTACTTGGTACAGGGAGAATTTCCCTATTTCTCCTTCCCAGAAATTTATGGTAGGTTTGGATTCTTTATTAATTTTGTTTGAGACAAGATCAGCATAGTTATTCAATTACTTTTCACTTATACACAAACAATTTATATAAGTTTTCCATAAATACATTACTGTATTGAAAAGTTTAATTCTTAATTTCATGACCCATTAATGTCTTTACCTAGTAAACAATTACACAATCATTTTGTGTGGTAGCTGTTATAGTAACATTTTCCTTTAATCCTCAGCTTTATTATGATATTAACATTCTTTGAAGGACTATTTTGTAGTAGACACAATAAGCACCATTTCAAATGTACCGTGCTACAACTGATTACCAGAGAGAAAGAAGACAGTGTTTACATTATATTACTGTCATAACTTTGATACTACTAATAATTAATTGCAAAACTTCTGACTGTTTGAAAGATTTATTCTAATATTATAGATATATTGCTTTCCTAATGTGAACTCTTTAGGTTTCAGTTTCATTCTCTACTTCTACAGTATTTTGATTAATGCTGGATATTGTCATCCTGTAGATAAAAACAACTGACAAGACTTCTACACTTACAATTGAGAAGGTGTGCATAAACGATAGTGGTATGTTTAGTGTCAAGGCAGAAAACAGAGGAGGCTCTGCCAAGTCTTCAAGTAATTTGGTAGTGGAAGGTAGAGTAGAATTTAATAATGTTTTTTGTTTTGTGTGTGGATTATAATTATGCAAGTTTTATACAGTGTTTTAAAAAGAATGAAACAATGTAAAACTTAATTTTAACAATGTACCATACAAGAACAAACCATTTCAGCTTGCTTACATAAACAATAAATATATTGGCTGTCAAATGAAACTCCATAATGTTGAACTGATAAGAAAGGCAACAACCGCCAACAGCACCAACCGTCAACTTTTTAGCTACTGTAATCAAATATGGGATTTGACTGTCACTCTTATAGTGAACCCACAGCCCTAAAGAGCTGAATGTGATTTTGTGGCAATGGGATGAAAACTATAGACCTTCAGATTCACAGTCTGGCATGATAACCACCAGGCCACACCCAGCCCATTCTTCTGTAGAAACTGAAATCCATAGTTATTGTGCATTAGGAGCAATTTTCACCTCAAATGCAGTGTTTTTGTGGATAACCTTTTTCTACTAATGTATACTGTCCCAAATCTGTGAGTTATTTGTGTACAAGGTGTCGTTTCAAAATGGCAGATGAATAGTGATATCATTCACATACTCTCAGTGGACAAAGCATTTTTTTGCCATCATCAGAGAACAGTAACCCATTGTATTGCAATACCCTCTTGTGATTTGAAAGGAAGAACTTTTTTAACTAAGTGGAAACGTGCTATAAGCAAGTGAAACTCAACCAATTACTCATTTTTTATGTAAATATAAATATTATGATATTTCATGGATTATCTAGCAGAGCAGAAAATTAGGATTGCTAATAACTGGAGGTTCTCAGATCTTGGGTTTTGAGATATATTTCCTTTCGAGCTCCAAACGATAGGTCGTGAAGAAAGAAACAACAAATTAGTTCACAGAAATAAATTTTTAAGGACAATATCACATTTTACACAACAAAACAATGGATTATAAACAATAAAATATAATAAATAATATGGCAAGTGAGCATATGTGCCTTAAGGTGAAAAGTTTAAGACTGGTAAGTCCTATAGTGATGGTTTTATTAACAAATAAGGCTCTTGATAGTGTGTGTTATTCTCTCTGTAAATTAAACTTAATCAAGATGAAAACACTAAATGAAAGTTACTTTAATCAAAGCCTACACAACTCTGTGAAATTCAAGTTTCACCAAAACAATTTGACTTAACAAACAAACTTAGTAATATGTGGAGCTAATGCTCCACTAACAACTGTTCCTGCGAAACAAACTCTATAACTAGTTCACTTAAGTGTAATGTAATCTAATAGGAAAGCACCATTGATAATCTTATAGTAGTGACTTTAAACAAGTGTGTAGTAAAACTAGATACTTATGGAAAGAGAATGTCCAATAGGAAAGCACCATTGATAATCTTATAGTAGTGACTTTAAACAAGTGTGAAGTAAAACTAGATACTTGTGGAAAGAGAATGTCCAATAGGAAAACACCACTGATAATCTTATAGTAGTGACTTTAAACAAGTGTGTAGTAAAACTAGATACTTGTGGAAAGAGAATGTCCAATAGGAAAACACCACTGATAATCTTATAGTAGTGACTTTAAACAAGTGTGTAGTAAAACTAGATACTTGTGGAAAGAGAATGTCCAATAGGAAAACACCACTGATAATCTTATAGTAGTGACTTTA